TGCCAATGGAAGGCAGCTTCAGTTACATGTGGGCTAGGATGTTTGCCTGAGCTGTTGAAGTCCTTTAGAGAGAGACATAATTTAGTCAAACCCTTTGATTTGTTGGTTGTGACATGTTAACAAACCCTCAGAGATGGTAATTTCCCTGATGTTAATGTGGTCTGAGTTGTCTGGTGATAAACCACTTTACAACTAAAGCCTAGGGAAGCTGTAGCATTGTTGGGCTGATGGTTTTATCCTGCTTTTTATTTAACCACCCTCTGGCCAGTTGTGATTCTGTGTGTTGCTCACAGCTTAAGTGATTTTGAGCATTGGGTCTGGGCCTACAAAGAGGGTTGTTGAGCATCTTTGTGTTTGAACAGCAAGAGAAAAGGGGTCCTTTGCTCTGCCAAAGCTGTATTTCCACCTGGAGGATAAACAACTCCAGGTTTTGTTGTCACAAATCCTGTGGCACTGGAGTTTAGAAGAGTCACTGGTGGAAGAGGGAAATAAAACAGCCTGTCACCTGCTGGGGATGGAAAATAAATCAGTTGAGCTGAAACAAAGAGGCTGTTCTTAGTCCTGCAGTGCTGATAGATATCAAGAGGCAGAAATGTGTTTTACCATCTTTTTTGGGGGGGAGCAGGGGTGGGGTTCAACACCAGAGGAGGTGTGGTGTGTCCTTTCCTTGCTTTCCTGTGCTGATGAGTGTGGGGTTTGGGGTGGGGGGGTGGAGACCTGATGACAGCAGGGAAAAGCAGACAGTATTCCATGGGGACTGATCACTGCTTTCCTTTTGCTTTGTGTTCCTCCTTTGCACTGCTGAACTGGGACATGTGTTTCATTCAGGGAGAGCCTTGCAGGGCCACCTTTGTAGCCCTGGCAACCCCTCTTGATGGTGTCCTAAATGGGTGTTTTCCTTTCCTTTGCACAGGGCCCGTGCAGAAGACTCATCCTCTGTAAAGCACAACCCGAGGCCAGAGCCAGGTGAGAAGATAAAGCATGAGGAGGAGGAGGAAGAGAGCAGCAGCACTGAGGGGAGAAAGGCTGTTGCCTCGGGAGAAGAGGAGGCTCAGCCAGAAGGGAAGAAGAAGAAGCAACGTTCTGGGTTCCGGGATCGTAAGGTACTGCCCGTGGGCACGTTTCTCCTGCAGCTGCTGCTGCCAAAAGGAAGGAACTTGCAGAAGGTTGGGTTCAGCTTCTGGTCCAGTACATGGATAGAGGCTTTGCTCTGTCCTTGTCTTGATGTTCTGAGAGACCTTACTGCTTTGGGACCCTACTTTCTTGGTGTGCCACCTGGAGTTTCTTCAGGCTGAGACCTGTTTATTTGGCAAGCACAGTGCTCTGATCTTCTGGAGACCTCTCTTCCCATCCATCTCCAGTTGGATGTCTGGGAAGTGGCTTGCTGAGAAATCAAGGCTCCTGCCTTGATGGCTGTTAGGGTGGTGTGTGCCAAGTAGGGAACTGGTGCTTGAAAAACCATCTAAGGGCATCCAGCATGTGTTTCTATATCACATTTGCCTGTGAGCATACACAGTGTATGTAGGAAGAAAAGGGTGAGTGGGGAAGGGACAGTCCTAGGAAGGGCATACATGGATTTTTCCTGTCATAATTCCATATAAATGTAGTTGCTGAAATCCAGCCTCACTCCCTGTTTGTGGTTAGTTGTGTCTCTCTCTTGATGCACACGCCTGTTTAATTTTCATATCAGACGCATGTTCAAGAGGAGAAAGGTTGAGTAATGAACTACATGGTCAGCTTGTGACCTGCCTCCCCTGCCGGGCAATCCTCAGAGCTTTGGGCTCCTCAGAACTGTCTGACAACTTGTTATCTGGAACCACTGATAGCGCAAGGTGTACAGTTTGGTCTGATGGAGTGCCCTGTAACTGCGAGTTGGCAGCCAGCACTATTTTATGTTTTAAACCTGTCTAGGTGTTGGTTTTTACTGCCCTGGGTTTGATTGAGTATCTTTGTGCTGCCAAAGAGCAGAACAGGAGTGGTCGCTCCTCACAGATCCTTCCTGGATGACTTGCTTCTGGTAATGATTTTTGGAGTCTGTTCCTGGAGGCTGCATCTCATTAGCTGTTGAGTTGTGGATGGTTGTACATGGTGGTAGAACAGCTTTTCAGAGCTGTTTTGTTTGAAGTCACTGAATCATATTCTGGTCTTGGTTACAGCAGATGACACAACTTGACATTTCAAGTGCCTGGTGGTATCTGGGGCTCCAGACTCTCCCTGTTGTGATGTGCTGGTGGCAGCTCAGTGAAGTTCTGTCGTAAGGTGCTACTCTGAGTATTCAGCATTATCCAGGAATGTGGGTTCTTGGCTTCTGCTCATTTTCTTGGCAGCTGGGTGTCGGGTGCTCTGACAGTTGGAGTAAAACTTGCCAGAACCACTTGAGGAAGGTGGGTTCTTTTTTTCCCCTGTGTTAGCAGGTGGAGGCAGGTTGCAATGAAAGGATCCACCTTCAGCCACACTCTTGTTTGTGTTTTTTTTAAAAAATAACGTTTGTGGATGCAGCAAGTGGAATGATTGATTTTTGTCTGCTGTGCCTGGTTGTCTCTGGCTGGGGAAGCCAAAGAATGTTTGTTTGCAAGTAAGGACTTTTATTCCAGTAGTCAGGAGATGTGACTAAGTTGACTGACTCTTTCCTTCCCATACTAGGCAGGGAGGGATGTGACCACGTTTTCCAAACAAGATGTGAGCCAGGCAAGCATGGAGGATGCCCAGGGGGCCTGGTGGGAAGGGCATGCAGCCTGGATCCCTTCTCATTCCTTAGTCTTCCTCCCTCCTTAAAGTGCTTGACTCCAGAGCAGCAGTTTCAGCAGGGAGATCAATGTTGCAAACAGACCTCACCATTTTGGTGCAAATGAAGCCCTTTCCAGCCTGAAGACAAAATGTCCCTTCTGTGACCTGGATGCCAGTGTTGCTTGTGCTCCATTTTATGCAGGTTGTAACTGGTGGTGTCCCAGGTGCCAGGTTCATGTTTGTTTAGGGAGGCTCCACTGTGGGCTTGGTGTTTGATCAGCAGTTGCCCTAGTGAGTCATCTCAGGAAGTATCTTGGAGAGTTTCCAGCTCAGATGGCAGAGGAAGGTGTGCCCTGGTTCCTGACTCAAAACCAGGGCTTCTCCCAGGATGTGCTGCTCCCCATATCACTTGTGGGGCACTCAGGGAATTCCTCTCTCTTCTGTATGTTTTTTTAAAAAGCAAAAAAAAAACCACCAAAACAACCCACAATGCCCCACAGCAAAAAAAAAAACCCTTTCCAGTTCTTCCCATAATTAATGGAAAATCATGTGGGGCTTTCCTTAATTGAAAGTGTTTCACCCTTGTTGGTTATCCCAGTGTTGCTTTTAATGAAGTTGATGATTGGTATTGGAATAATAAATTGGGCATGACATGGGTATTTTGGGTGGTGATTCAGTGAGGAGGAAGTTAAAATGTAAAGCACTTGGCATCTGCTGGGACTGGGATCTTGTGTGGCTGCTTCCAGGGCACGTGTTGCCTTGCAGCCTGTGCCATGTGGAGGCCCTGGCTGCATCAGGGAGGGAGGAGAAAGATGGGAAGCTTTTCTAATTTGATGGCTAATGAGTGGTAATCCGCGTGGTGGGTGTTCATTAATTTGCTAAAAGGGTTTTTGCATGAAGCAGGAGGACTTTTTAATCACAATCTGCTTGCAGTGTTTGCTGGGCCCTGCAGGTGTGCTGCCTTAGGAGTGTTGGTTGTTGCTAAGGCTTCATTTTAGTGTTGATTTCTTTTTGGAAAGCCAAAGAAAATCGATTCTAATGAATTGAGCCTGCTGAGGTGTGTGTGGTGGAGCTGGGCTGCCAGGGTTCCTGTTCTGCTGCAGGGTCAGGGAGGCCCCAGTGATGCTCTGGAAGTGAAGTGAGATGCAAATTTAGAGCTTTCTACTCATGTCTGCACAGGATTTGATTCTGTTTTGACTTCTTAACCTGGGGCTTAGCATAAATGCCAGGAAAATGTTTTGGAATATTCCACAGGTGAGAGGTTGTGGGAGGAGAGGCTTGTCTGGGCTGGTTTGGTGTCCAGGTTGTTTAGAAGAAGCAGAAAAGCCACCACTAGTGGTGTGTACACCCCAAGACATCCACAGCTGCTTTCTATATCTGCAGTTGTGTAGGGAGACCAGAGCACCTGTTAGGGCCCACTTTGTGTTGAGCACCCAGTCTGGAGTCAGTTGTTTCTGTTTCCATGGTCTCAGCTGTTCCCTCCTTGCTCTGCCTTCATGTCCAGGCCAGTCTTGGAAGTTCAGAGGTGGCTGGGTTGTAGCATGTTGGTTGTTGCCAGCTGATTAGATCATTGGAGCAAAAATGAGGTAATTGTGAGTTCAGCTGCAGGCAAAAGGGAAGAAGTATTGCTGCAAGCCTGGGTTGGGAGAATTGAAAACCTTTGACCCTAAAAATATGAAAAATCAGGGTGTGTTCTTTCTGATGAGCATCAGGGTAGAGAGGTTGTTTGAGTGAAAGGACAAGGCTGAGACAGGACCAAAGCCATAAATGATCTACAGATGCCTTGGCAGTACTCTTGAACTTCCCTGTTCTCTTCCAGCAGCTTGTTGGTTGGTTTGTTTGACTTTTTTTTTTTTCTAATTCTCCTGTGGCTCTTGGCCAGAAGTGCTGAAGCTTTCAAGTACATGATGGACTGTTAAACAAGGTGTGTAACACAGGAATAAAAAGCTGAGCTAAGAAGGAAAGTTTTCTGTTCTAATCTATAATGAAGTGCAGATCTTTGTGCCTTTTTCCTCTCTGGTGGCTTTCTGTTGTGGTTTTTTTGTTGTTTATAAAAGCTTTCTGTTCTCTTGGATTAATTCTAGCTGTGTGCTGGGGAAAACAGTTCTAGGTAGCAAATAATAGCTGCTGGCAGAGTGAGCAAGAGGCAGATTGGTGAGAAGTGGTCTGAGTCAAGACAGTTTCTGCAGAAAATGGTCTTTTGCCAGTGTGATAGAAGAGGAAAAAATGAGGTTGAGTGACTGAGCAACCAGCTGTGGTTCTGAGTAGTTTTTTCCAAGACTTGGCTTGAAAGCAAAGGTCTCTCCCAGCTCTCCAAGACTTTTACTTCATGTATGAATCATAAATCAGTCCCTTCAACACTGTGGTTAAAATGTGGAGCTGCTTTAGATGCACAGGTGTGATACCAGTGCCTTTTTATGTTCATCTTGAAAAGTGCCTTCAGGGGTTTTGTTAATTTGTAATTTCTCTGCCATCACGGAGTGTCCAAGTCTTGGCTATTGGTTTGTTCATAATTCTTGCTCACCAGGGGTTGATGCTTCCAATTTTCCTGGTGGTTCAAAGGCTGGATTTAGGAGGGATTATGACCCTTTTCATTGTTACTTCTTTCAAGTGTTGTGTTGCTGCCCACAACTTGGTTGTCCTGTGGCAAATCACCCAGAATCACCAAGGCTTGAAAAGACCTTGAAGATCATCAAGCCCAGCCTATGACCAACACCACCCCAGGGCACCAAGTGCCACCTCCAGCCTTTCCTTGAGCACCTCCAGGGCTGGTGCCTCCAGCACTTCCCTGGGAAGTCCATTCTGAGGAAGTGCTTCCTGATATCCAACCTAAACCTCCCCTGGAGCAGCTTCAGGCCAGGCCCTCTTGTCTTGTTGCTGGTTGCCTGGAGGAAGAGCCCAACCCCTGCTTGACTAAACCTCCCTTCAGGTGGTTGAAGGAGAATGAGAAGGTCCCCAACTCACAACTTCTGGTCCTCCTTGAGAGGCTAGAGGTGCTAATGAAGGTACTGGGGAGAGGAACCATGCACACCTAATGCTGGTTGTATTTTGTTTCCAGGTGATGGAATATGAGAACAGGATCAGAGCTTACTCCACCCCAGACAAAATCTTCAGGTACTTTGCCACCTTGAAAGTTATCAACGAGCACGGCGAGTCAGAGGTTTTTATGACACCACAGGATTTTGTGAGATCAATAACACCTAATGAAAAACAACCAGAACGTAAGTGGTTTGTGTGTCTGTAGTAGTAATAATATTTGGAGGAACTGATGTAGCAGAGGGGAATAAGCTCTTCACTCTCTGCTTGCCTGATCTCCACATTTCCCATCCAACTTATGTTGTTGGGAGGTGTTGTTGCCATTGAGGGGCTGGGAAGTGTCTCCTGAAGCTGTGTTCCTTCTCCATGCTCCAAACCCAGAATTAGCCTCATTCTGTGTTCCCTGGAGTGCTGCTGCAGCACAGTCCATCTCATTGGTACAAGCCCTTAAAGAGTCATCTCATCTGCTCTTTGCATACATACTAGTGACAGGTCACTTTCAACTGGAACATCTTCTGAACTGGTCACAAACCTTCAAAATGAGGTTGCTTTGGGAAGGAAAACCTTGGAAATAAAGAGGTCCAGGCAGCTGGACCTGAGCTGTGATGCCACTGGCCTTGGGGAGTTCATCTCTGCTGGCTTCAGATTCCCTATGGATTGCGGGGAATTGCTGCAATTGCTGTGGGGGCTTGGCAGGCAACAGGTAGGAGAGCAGACACTTGGTTATTCTAGTCTAAAAAGCTGTGTCCTTAGCATTTGATAAGAGGTTGGGCTTTTTTTTGGGTGGTGACAGGAGGATTTTGCCTTCTGTTTTGGAGGAGATTTATGGGTTGGGTGACAAGTGGGAAATCAGATTTCTTAGTCTTCCACATTGTATCTCCAAGAATGCAACAGGCTTTTGTCAAATTAAAACTCCTCTTCTCCAGGCATTAATATAGAACCTCAGCCCCTTGGTAACTTTTGGAAAGTGAAGTTTATGTACAAACTGTGAAACTGTTTTGCTATCTTAGATGACAGCTGCTCAATAAATACCACATAGACTTGTGTGTCAAAACCAACAATATGAGGCCTGTGAAGAAGGGAAGAAAAAATAATCCTGGCTTGAGTGTTAAAAACATGTTGGTGATTTGATATTGAGGTTTTTCATCAAGCCCTGAAAATGGCCCTTGTTTTCATATGAATGACATGGTTTCAGTGAAGAAGTCTGAGCAATAAACAAGATCATGTCCATAGATGCTGAAATTTTGTTTTACTATCTTAACTGTCTAAAGCTCCTTGAATTTGAAAAGCAGTAGCACATGGCTGACTGCAAGTCTTCCCAGGCAAGTCTGTTGTGGTGTGTTTTTTCTGTCAGCCAGCTTAAAAATAGAAATCATCCTATTTTATTTCAAGACATCTGATTCTCTTTTACTCCTTCCATAAAATGTATGTGCTTGGTGCCTTTCAGGGGGTACACAAAAAAATAGGTGGAAGAGTGCTCAGAAAACACCTGCTTTGGAGACAAGCAAAGGTGACTCATGGGAAAGAATTTGTCAGTCTTAACCACTTTCTGCTGTAACAATTATTCTCCTGGCTGGGTGAGCTGCTTAAATGGCCCCATGAAGTCTGTCACTGCCTTTAAGTGCCTGCAGATGCTGCCAGTCAGTGACACAAAGCAGCCTGGAAGGGGAGGAAATTGCCTTAGTGATACTTAAAGATGCTCTTGCAAAGTAGAATGAGATGGAAATTTGAGCTTTGGCTGTCCATCAGCAAGGAAGGCAGGAGTATGGGCATCTTCTATCTTGTTGGTTTGAAAATCTGTCCTGAGGAGCATTGCCATCATGGAGTTGTAGAGGGAGCTGCTGCTCAGGTGGTTGTTCCTTACCAGGGCTGTAGGTCTTGTAAATGGCTTTTTACTACCTAACGAGCAGTAGAAGAGTAAAGCACTTAATGCCTTAAACACTTAATGACTTAAAGTCAAACCAGCTGTAACCTTGTTCCCAAGTGCTTTAAAAGCTGATAGTAAAAAGAAAAAAAAGAAAAACATAGGTGTGATTTGAAAACAAGAACTTCAAGAGAAAGACTTCCACCTGTTGGCTGGATTATTTCCACACTTGGCATCTGTTTGTCCCATGAGTCAAAAGCACCAATCTAGATCATGGATGAGGAGGGAAATGCTGAGGCTGCTTTCTCCCTTAGTCACGACTTGGGTGTGGTGTGTCCTCTGCCTGGGCTGGAGCAGCTTGTCATCCCAGGACACTCCCTGGGGGAGTGATGTAGCCTGGAGGGCTCCTTGGACATCTCCTGGTAGGTTGCTCTAGTCTAACTGGGTAGGTTAGTGCTGGAACTGAATTAAAGATCTTTCTGTATTGCAGAACTTTCTGCCCCACTCATCCCAAGGTTTTCCCTTGAACAGTGTGTGTTTCTTGGGTGGTGTGTGTGGCAAAGCAGTTGCCTTCAGGTCCTGCCAGTTAATCTTGTCCTACATAAGCAGTTGGAGATGTGAGGAGGGCAGGGGGTGCTCTGTGTGCTTGAGCTGCCAGTAGTAATTTCAGAGAGTAACTTCTTGTGCCTGCTCTTCTATGGAGAGAAAATCCTGAGGAATGTAAGTGATATGCAATGATGAGGTATCTGAGTCCACACTGTACTTCCTTTGAAACTGCTAATCTACTGCAAGGTATCATATGCCCCATTCTTTTTTATGGATTGCATAGGGGGAACTTTGATTTATTGTCAAGAAAGCAGCAACTTAATTCTAGGCTGTGTTTTGCCAGCTGGGGCAAAAGGAATGCCAGGTCATTAACTCCTGCAGATTGCTTTCTCTACTTCAGTAAATCTTTCTGCCCTAGCTTTCCCCAGCAGGCAAGTGGTGCTCACAGTGTGATATACTCCTGCTGAGCTTGGAACTGGCTGCTGGAATAAGCCCCCCAGGATGGTTTTCAACTTGGAAGATGCTTGACCAAATCCCATCTCTTTGTGTCCAGTTATAGGCCCCTCAGTTCCAGAAGGACAGGGAACTGCTGGAAAGAATCCAGGGAAGAGCCACAAAGATGCTGAAGAGAGTGGAACATCTCCCTGCTGAGGAAAGGATGAGGGAACTGGGTCTGTTGGGCTTGGAGAAGAGGAGACTGAGGGGCGACCTCATCAGTGGTTACAAATCTGTTCAGGGCAGTGTCAGGAGGACAGAGCCAGGCTTTGTGCAGTGATGTCCAGTGACAGGACAAGGGGCAGTGGGTGCCAACTGGAGCAGAGGAGGTTCCATGTGAATGTCAGGAAGAACTTCTTTCCTGTGAAGTGACAGAGCCCTGGGACAGACTGCCCAGAGAGGCTGGGGAGTCTCCTTCTCTGGAGACATTCAAACCCCCCTGGACACGTTCCTGTGTGATGTGCTCTGGGTGCCCCTGCTCTGGCAGGGGGGTTGGACTTGGGTGATCTCTCCAGGTCCCTCCCAACCCCTAAGGTTCTGTGATTCTGTGTGCTCCCTGGGAAGTCCAAGCACCAACAGAAGGGTGGGCAGTCTTACTGGGTTGTTTTCCACCCAGCTCCTCTTGTACCCAAGAGGTATCCTGGCTCCAAGGCTGGGTTAGCTGGGATGGTCACTTGCTTCCTGGCATTTGCTTGGTACCCCAGCCCAAAACCAGCTCAAAATATTTCTGGTGGGAAGGGTTTGCAAAAAAAAACATTTTACATGTTGCAGCTCTTGGGGCTCTTGCTGAAGAAGGTGTATGAAGCCCTGATGCTTGACAGGAGCCACAACCTTCACTGATACTTGAAGGTTGTTGCTGGCAAGTCCTCTGTGATCTTAGGTAGCTCTTGGCCTGCTTGAACATTTCCAAGTGCTTGGACCAGCTTGGTGGTGGCCTGCCCAGTTCTCTGTTTCCTAGCTTCTGAGTTCCCTCCATTGCCCCAAGTTTCTCTGGGACTGTCCTGCATTGGTCATTTTCCTGGGGAAACAGTGTTTTGGGGCATCCTAGACTAAGAAGGAGATGTGACATACTCAACCAGTACCAGTTATTTTAGTCTTTGAAGTAATTTCTTCACGTTGTCATATTAGAAGGAATTTCTTTACCCAAAGAGTGGTTGGACAGTGGAACAGGCTGCCCAGGGAGGTGGTGGAGTCACCATCTCTGGAAGAGTTTAAAAGAAATCTAGATACAGTGCTTAGCAACATGATTTAAGCACTGAATGGGTAAATCAGGTTATGGTAGGGGGATTTAGGTTATAGTTGGGCTTGATGATCTTCAAGGTCCCTTCCAACCACGATGATTATGTGATCTCAACCTAGAATGCTCTAATTAAGACAGGTTGTACCCAAACAGTCTTGCTCTTCTATTGCATTGTTAACCTCCCTGGTTAACCCCAACTCCTGCTGCACAAAAGACACCTTTCAAGATCCACCCTGCTCTGCAGCAGCTTGAGTATCTGAACTCTTGGAAATGCCCTAGAAGGTTTTTGTCTGCAGGAAACCACAAACATGCTGTTGAAGTTCAGCCAGAGGCAGCAGCTGCCCCTGCAGCCTCTGTGCACAAGATGATGTTGAGGAGGAGCTGTGAAGGACAGAGGTGATGTCTGGTGATTCCATCAGAACGTACAGCTTGGTTCTCTCTTCTGTCATGGTTGGTTGTTCATGCCTGGGCTTCGCAAGCAACTGAGCACAAGCTGGCTTCTGGATTGTGATGGTGCTTCAGTGACCTTTTTGTTTTGCGTTCAGTTGGTAAAACACAGAAGTGATCTTCAGCAGAACCAACAGTTGTGACCAGTGGCAAGAGCTCACCCACCTGGGGAGAGGGAGGACTCCCTAGGCTTGTCCAGATCCCTAAACTTCTCTCAAGTGTTCAGCTGTGTTATTTAAGACCCAGAAGGCAAGTAGAGATGCTGAGGTTTCCTTCTAAAGTGTTCATAGGGACTTATTTTTGTGCTCTCCCTCAAATACATCTTGTGGAAAGGTCTTCAGGGTAAGGGTGTGAGTAAGAAGGGAGGTGATTTGGTGGTTCTATTCCAGACCCAGGAGGGTGAATAGATGTGTTGGGGGTTTTTTTCTGTGGAAATGTCATTCCAAAGCAAGGATCATCTTTGAACCTGTCATGCCTGATACAAGACCCCAGGAAGGTAGCCAAGGAGAAGCCATAGAGAAGGGCATTGATGTGCATGTCTATGAGGTGGTCAACTGAATAAATGAATAATTAGGACTTCCAGGAGAGATGAA